ACATAAATAAAAACTTTGAATGTTTCATGTTCCTTGATATAGAAGATCAAATAGCCTAGTGTAGCCATTTCAGTTATGATCCACAAAAGTATGTGGTAGACGGCCAACAAACATCGAGATCGAATAGGAGCACAATATTGTAAATAGGAGAAGATGATGATAATTGTCGACAATAGTCCTATGTAAGTACGTCCTTCAGAATGATACGCATAGTGATACCATGCATCGAAGACGTAGGATCCAGCGGAGATGAATGGGAGAATAACCATTGCATACAGAAAGAATGGATCACGTCCATCATCTGGTTCGTGTAAGTCAAAAAAACCCATTATCGAAGAATGCTTCACAACGAATTTCACAAATGTATACTTCAATAATAGTTACCAATGATGAATTCGTCACTGGTTTGAATGCTGTCTTATATACTTATTCGGTGAGTGAATGTTTTTTTTTTACATTAAGACGATGAAAATCATAGTTGCGTGTTTTCGTTGGATTTTTTTTACAGCGCCACCGATAGAAATACTGCATGTCAGTGCTCTTTGAATGAAGAACGAAGGAAACCTCAAGTGGACCGACAAGAAGAAAAAAAAAATTTTATACACTCGATCAATAATACCAAACTGTGTCTATATACTTGAAGTTCTTCCTCTGCTTTTGTTTGGCCATCGGAGCTCTGTACATGTGGTTTCATATTGGTAATCTTCTTTATACTGGTATTAAGCATACGATCATTGAGTTATCCTTGTCGATCATTACGTTTCATTGGGCGTGACACCAACAAAACTAGGATGTGAATATAAATATGTGTATATATGTGCTTGACGAGAAAACTTACCCGCATTTCACATTGGGCTAAAAATGAAAATCACACTTTGCCAAGATTTAAATATAGGGAAATATTCTTCGAAATATAGTCTATCTAATGGCATAAATAACTCTGTAACAATTCTTAAAGAAGCTAAAAAATTATTTCACACACCCGCATCTTCATCGCACTACATTAACATCAACACAAGAGATCGCTAAACAAGAATAGAAAGTTGAGAAATGCCGAAAAAAAGTATACTGTTCCAGTGAGACTGTAAGTGTACGAGTTTTGAATATATTCTAAGATCATCATTGGGTACAAAAAATGATACTGCAGATAGAATATGGGTGTGGATGTTCTCTTCAACACATCCATACGCACACCCAAATAGATTAAAAGTACCACATTTCGATTAAATTCGATATAACATTTGATTATAATGAATTTTACTCAGTAAAAATCGATTAAAACGAACCTTTTTTGTTATAAAATCGAAATAATCGCACAATGGATATATTATTTCAGAGTTTTCGATGATTTTCATTTGTATTTTATTAAATAATTGTATTCTCAAAAAGTTAAAATTGAATTAGAAAACCGATTGTATACTAAATTTGTTTAATTTTATTAAATAGATGTAACAAAAACTAAAAACAATAGGTTTGTCAGTATTATTATTTTCAATATACAATCATTCTATAATAACAAATCAAAAACAAAAGTCATATCCATAGACGAAACCTTGATTTTTCAATACATATTTGACCATTAGGAAATCGTTTTTGAACTATCAAGCGATAAGGTATGATTTTCGCATTATTGGCTTCACCATAAATATTCAAAACAAAAAAAACAAATTCGTTCGATTAAGTCTCTTTCATTTACATACCAATAGATTCAAATGCTTGTAAAGATTTTTACTATCGTCAAGCCATATTTCCATAGTGTGCTGATTTAAAATCAAGTTAAACTTTGAAAAAAAAAGCATTTTTAATAGACAACTTGCTCATCATAATAAATATTTTCATATTATTAAACACGAACGATCTTTTTCACTGTTCTTTTTGCTTTAAAAGCAGCAATGTTTCAATATTTGTTAAGTTATTTAGGGCTATCCAAAAGTAGTGGCGGAGATACTTTATTTACGTATAAAACGCTTGAAAAAACTTTCTTTTTGTAGACAGTGATGGTAAAAACAATGTTCTATTTCTCATTAATATTTGATCATTCTTCAACTAATAACATAATAATAAAATTTCGATAAGATCTATTTTTCTATGATATATGACGGTTATACTAATACCTTTAAAAAAAAAAAATTAATAGATATTTTTTTAAGTAAATTTTGATAGAAACAAAAGATAGAGAGATGCTGTTTTCATCACTCGAAAGAGAAGATGAAGATGCATCGAATAGTATATTATAGACTTTTTTGACCTGATTTTTTTAAGGCTTTCAATCGACTTGCTTGAAAATAAAACCTAACCTCATTCAGGAGTTATAAATATTCTAGTCGAAATCGTAAGTGACTTTTCTAGCAATTTTTCTGAAAAAAAAGTTTTTTTTTGCTTGATAAACAACCAATTTTCTCGACACTTAGAAAATTGATTAAACAAATCTCAAACAACATTCCGTATGCAATCCGATGCATCTTCATCTCCTTCGAATGATGAAAACAGTACATATCATAGAAAAACAGATCTTATCGAAATTTTATTATTATGTTTTTAGTTGAAGAATGATCAAATAGCAGCGAGAAATAAAACATTGTTTTTACTATCACTGCCTATAAAAAGAAAGTTTTTTTTCAAACGTTTTATAAGTAAATAAAGTATCTCCGCCGCTACTTTTGGATAGTTCTAAGTAGATGAGTGGGTGTGAACGAAGAGAATATCCAAATCCACATCCTAGACCCAAACTTGCGTTTCTTCACCGTCAAACAGTCATTTTTATGGTGACGAAATTTTGTGGTTTTTATATCATTAACTGTAGGTCAAGATCTTTTATTATCTGACCGAATAGCGATGTTGATCTCAACAATTATCATTGAACGAAAACAAAAAGGATCAATGATATTTAAAGAAGTGCACTGTTTTTTTTAATAATTATTTACAATGAACGTCTTTCAATTTTCACGTAAACATTTTTCGGTTGAAGAATAAACAGAGTATTTTTGAGTTTAAATTTTTCTTCAATTTGATTCACAGGATAGATTGAATAATGTCGAAGTAGACGCGCCAGACACATTTTAATTTCCATCAAAGCAAATCGTTTTCCAATACAATTGCGTGGACCAAAACCAAAAGGCATAAAAGCCATCGGATATCTTTCTAGTAAGAATACATTTGGATCATCTGAACTCCATAAATCATGATCATAATGAATAAGTCAATATGTCCGGTTGAATAACACTACCTTTAAATAAAGGACGAGACTATCAACAAGATATATATCGTTATTATGAATCAACAAGGATGGGCTTTGTCTAAATCTAAAGCCACTATTCGTTATTCATTAGAATAAATAAAATTTCTGACGGAGAAGTACAATGAAGGTGAGGCATGTCGTCATAAATGGAATCCATCAGCTGTTTCGTTGGTTAGTAATCTCAAAATTGATCAAACTTTGCATCTAAACTTTTTTCAGGAAATGGAAACAAAAGAGAAAAACGGGAAATTTGTTTTTCAACCTGATCAATTTTTAACAACAACTCAAATACGCAGCTATTTTTCCCGATTGACTGCTGCTCGACGGGAACAAGCCAATAGAACTAAATCTCAAATGATTTCAGTGAACCGAGATGATGAAGAAGATTCACCATCTCCACATCTTCCGTATAGACCAGAAATTATACGTGATTCATCAGCGAAATGCATAATTCTATTGGGTTTGTATCACTTTCTATAGTCAAAGTAACGACCAACGTCTTCATACAAAATCGCCTACATTCTACTCTTTGACTCTTAAGTTGACTTTTTTCCTTTGTTACTACTCATGTCATCTCTTGCCATTATCTTATACTCAGAATTAGCTTCCTGATTATTGAAATTTCATATAAAATGCTATCACAAGCAAAAGATAGAGGCATAATTCAGCATATTCTGTAAAACATACTATTCCTTGTCTATTAGCAAATCAACTGACTTGACATGATAAGCAGTGTGCGTCAAATTACTTATCATATTGCATAATTCTTTTTTGCGTTCTATACTAAAAACTCGCTTTGATAAGCTTGAATGACATCATACGAGAAACACTTTGCGTAAGTTCTATTTCATCAACAGAGCAAATTGACTCACGATATATTTTTGTAGATTTGAAATCAAAATCATCTGAAACATATTTATTAAATCTTAGGTTATCGATATCAATTAGTAGCCATGGACAGCAAAAAGATTCCTGTAAAGATAGCTGTCATTGGTCATGTTGATTGTGGCAAATCTACAGTAATCGGACATTTGCTCTACAAGTGCGGCTGTATGGATAAGCGAACTTTCGAGAAATTCGAGAAAGAAGCTATGGAAGTAAGTTCTTTACTTAGTTAATTTGTTGCTCGAACTCTTCTATTGTTGATGATCGACAGATGGGCAAAAGTTCCTTCAAATATGCTTGGATACTAAACAAACTGCAAGGTAAACGTGAACGTGGCATCACCACCGATATCGCATTGTGCACATTTGAGACTACAAAATACTCGATTACTATCGTCGATGCTCCGGGTTTCCGGGATTACATGACAAATATGATCAACAATATTTCAAAAGTATGCAAAGTCTTGTTGTTCGTTCTTGTAAAGATTTGTGTATAAGCAATGAGAAAATTATGTTTTCAGTGATATTGGCTATAGGTTCCTTCTATTCTTTAGGCTGATTGTATCTTGTTAATAGTTTCTGCTGGTCTCGGCGAGTTCGAAGCCGGAATTTCAAAGTATGGTCAAACTCGCGAACATGCACTGCTCGCTTATACTCTCGGTGTCAAGCAAATCATTATTGGCGTCAACAAAATGGATGCAATCCAGCCATCCTATTCAGAAGATCGCTTCAACGAAATTAAGACGGAAGTCCTCAAATGCATGGAGAAAATAGGTTTCCAATCACACTTTATTACAGTTGTTCCTATATCTGGCTTCTATGGTGATAATCTTGTTCAAGCATCGAACAAAATGCCTTGGTTTCAGGGCTGGAATATCCGTCGCAACAGTGATAACATCACAATCACTACCATTTTGGAAGCCTTAGACGGGCTCATTCCTCCAGTGCAGCTCGCGATGAGACCATTGCGTTTTACTCTGTGTAGCAAAGGTGAAAGGAATGGTGATAGAGTAATTCTCATGGGTCAAGTAGAAACAGGTGTAATGAAGACGCACACGATTGTCCATTTTACTCCATCAAATATCACAGCTGAAATCGAATCGATCGAGATAAACTACGAAACTATTAAGGGTATAAATTCTTTTTTGTCGCTTTACCTTACAATGTTCTGTGTGATTCAGAAGCGATACCTGGTGATTATGTAACACTTCATGTGAAAAGTATTCATACGAGAGAACTACGACCAGGATTGATTGGCTCGGATCCAACAAACGATCCGACTCAAAAGTCTTGAGTTTTATTGCCCAAGTAAATATTTTTACTTTTTTACTTCTATTCGAGCAAGAAGAATAACAATTCTTATTATCAGATTGTGCTGATCAATTGTGTAGACCAGATCAATGCTGGATATATAGCAGTGATCCAATGTCATATGTCTAATGTTGCTTGCAAGTTCATCGAACTACTTAAGAAAATCGATCGTCGATCAGGCCAGACCATTGAAGAGGCACCACAATGTCTTAAACTTGGTGAAACTGCTTTGGTCAAGTTGATTCCTCAACAATCTTTGTGTATTAAACAGTTCGATGAATATCAAAAATTGGGTCAGTTCATTGTTCGAGACAGGGGACAGACAGGGGACAGACAGTGGCTTTTGGTGTTGTTATGAATGTTGAGAAATCAATCTGAGTAACACAATTGGTTGGTACTTCACAAGAAGACGAAGCATAATCGGAGCAACACATTTTCGAACATTATTTCAGCATGTTGTTTTCAATTTAATATGTCATTTTACGACAGAATCGTTTTGCACTTCTTTTATTTTAGCAAAAGAAAAATAACCGCAACACTTATCTTCTCTCTTCCAACCATCGACACCTTATTGCGATAAGTTTCATAGCATGAAACTAAACCAAAACGATAATCAAAGGCTAAAGAGGCAATGAAAAACTTATCTGGTTATTTTTGTATCTCTTATTTTCTACAAAAAAAGAGTTAGAATATTGAGTTGTTTTATTTGCAAAGTAAGTCATCATCACGTAACAATATAGTTCTAGTTATCTTGAGTTTTTATTTCTTCTATGATCTCTATATGATTGTACCTAAAATGAATGACATTGATTTCAGAAATTCGTAATGCTTCGATTGTTATCATTTACGAAAATTGTCCATGTATTCTTATTCCTATCTTTTGCTAAGAGTGTTAACAGTAGTCAGTACATCTATGAAGAAATGATTTAGCCTCGCAGTCTGGTCATACACTTGAAACACTTGCCAATTTTGTGTCTGGACTAGATTCACCTTTAAGGTTTATTTTTTTTTTATCAATCATATAAAAATACGGGCATCTTTTCGGGTGGAACTTGTAATGACAATCATCAATGGTACTTATTAGGTTGAGTATAAACATGTTAAGTTGATCTGACTATCTATTATATACATATCGCTGTAGAGATCGTTGATATCGTTATCAAACGAGCTTGGAGCATTAGAAAATGTAATGGTGGCACTGTGCGGTAAACTATAAATCTATTATTTGAATCAGGCTGGATGTGAATGTGAGACTTCACTTCACCTACATCTACACTCGAGCATTTGATTACGGCTGAGTATACGTATATTTTAAGTTTGATATTTTACATTTCAATACATGCCAATCCAACAAATATGTAACTATTAAATTAGTTATCCATGCATAAAATTAATATAATGTGAACGATTCTTCAATAATTTGACTTATGATCAAGATGGTAGATAACAAAAAATTCCTGATAACGTATTGCAGTGTTTTTCTCAAATTATTATTATTCAATATTGTTATAAAACATCAAATGTATTATGGTATTAATAAATATATCTTTCCCGAACAGTATTATCAAATTTACGATAAACTTAAACAATAATTTTCCTTCTGAAAACTTCTTCTTCAAAGATTGATTCCCACTTTTTTGTTCTTTGTTCAGCAAATTAACTCTGTATTTAACTTTATTGATTATTTTATTGAGCATATTATCATTTAGACTTAATCAATTACTAAAAAGTAAGAGTTGAGACTAGCAGATTGAACTTGTCTTTTCTTTAAGAAATAGGTCGACTTGTTTTTTCGATTGTTTAGTCGGAGGTGAGTCATCCGATACAGTGTCTTCCTTGTTAAATACTGCATTCTTCTTGAATCTTTGCCATTTTGAGAGCAATTATGTTGAAGATTTTTGTGAACGTAGTATTTAATGAATGTAGGCCAGCAACATCACTTCGAACTATTACGAGTTATGATGAGTCCCAGTTACTCCATAACTGGACAATATCACAGATCATGTTACTCATGACTATATAATTGTGCAATAGCACTGTTTATTCTATAAAATTTATTGAGTTTGATTGATTAATACAAGAGCTATGACCATTTATGCATGATGCTTCTCTATTTAACATATCATCTGTTACTCATCTGAACCTCGTCTTAACTTCAAACTGCAACTGCCGGTGGAATCGACATGTTACTATAATCATTATTGCGCAATTCATGAGAGTCACACATACTTGATGGATGCATTATGAGCACCATCTGTTATTCTACGGGAATCAGTATAAAAGTGAACTTTGCATTCTAAAATGGTCGAACCGGCACACAAATTTTTGATTGAATTATCGTGGAAAAGTTTCATGTCACAGTAATATTCAATAAAACTTTATAAAATCATTCGAATGTTTTATATAGTGCAGAAATTAGTCACTAGTGTAATGCATAATTTGTTATCTCAAAATCTCTCGAAGCAAAAGTCAAGGACTGATAAGAAATCATTATACTTGCTGAGGACAATAAGAAAATTCGAAAAATAAATGTTGTTAGTATAATAAAGATCTCGTGATCATGGACGCTTTTAAGTGCCGCAAAAAACGGAACGAACTTACTCTCATGTTACATGTAAAGTGCTTCGTAACAATGAGAACAACAGAACAAGTAAAATGATATGTGATTCTTTTTTTCTTATGCTTACAGCAACAAAAGTACATATTTGCTGATAGGTGGATGATATCATACAACAAGGTAAGAAGTAAGCAGTAGAGTCCATAGTTTGTCGTTATGTAAGCTAAAACTGACTCGGAATAATTCATTATAAATAAATTTATCTGAGACTATGTAATAGTAGTATGACAAGCTGGATCTCTATGAGAAAGCTAGAATCTGTAAAGATCATTGAGTATGTAGTGGAATTTTTCTGTCATAATCGAAAAAAAACTAACTTTCGTTGGTCGATTCAGCATCGTCAAGTCACTAAATTGTTTTATTTTGATGTCTGAAAATCTCAATTGTAAGAAGCTTAGATGCTGTGACTGAATCTTTTTTACAGAAATTAACCGAAATCCTCTCGTTGAAATTTATAAAGTCTCCAGTTTTACCGGGATGAGTTTCGTAGTTTTTTTCAAAGAAAGAGTTTTTTTTTTCATCGACATGATGATCAAGACCAATTGAATCAGTGATATTGTTTTCGTAGAGTTCCCATTCTTGAATTGTGTTACCTGTATTCACAACGATATTGCTTAATATTTCGTAGGCTTTTGAACAAACTTTGATCTAGTACGAGATTCATTTTCAATTATGCCCATGACTGCCAATGATCACGGACATGTTAGTAAGTAAATAGTTGACCACAAAAAATTCTCTCCACTAATCTATTTCATGCTAGACAATCTCGATGCGGCACAGATGGAGACACTAAAACGTTATTGGATAGCTCTTATCAATGCTATCAGTACTCAATGTTCGTTACCTGTCGACCAGATTATCAATTCTGTTTATGGAGATGAATTCTTTCATGCAGTTGGCTACGAGAATCCTGATGTACTTACACTACGATGGCTGCGCGTATGTAAGTGGAATATCAATGATGCTGTTCAGAAAATGATGAAAATGCTAAAGTGGCGACACGAATGGGGAGTTCAGGCACTTGTGGCTCAAGGCGAGAGTGGCCTCTCCTGTGAAGAAATCAAGACAGGAAAGTGTTTTTTAATGGGCTATGATAAAGCTGAGCGTCCGATCAATTATATATCTGCTAAGGATCACATAAATGGTCAATTTCCTCATGAGACCACACAGAAACAGACCGTTTTAACGATGGAAACTGTTCGAAAACTTATTGAGGCTCCCATTGAGACAAGTACGATTGTTTTTGATCTAAGTGGGTTTCGTTTGAAAAATATGGACTATCAGCATATCAAGTTTTTCATCAGTCTCATGGAAAATTATTATCCGGAAGCACTTGGTCAGGTAATCATACTAAACGCTCCATGGATATTTTATGGTTGCTGGACCATCATAAGCAAATGGTTGGATCCGACCATACGAAATGAAATTAAATTTGTTAGAAATGAAGTCGAATTAGCTCAGTACATAGATCTATCTGTTGTTCCAAGAAGATTGAACGGTGCTCATCCTGATTTCGAATACATTCCACCGACAGCTGATGATGAATCCATGATTGACACCATTCATGCCGACGTTCAAGGTAACGCAAACGCCCAAAAAGCTCACCAAGAAGCTGCTCGACATTATCTGAATGTTACCCTGCAATGGGCACACGGTGATACGAACCCGAATTTACTAACGGAAAGGGCCATGGCTGTGAAGCAATTACAAAATGCTTTTGAAAAGTTAGTTCCATACATAAGTACCCGAACTCATTATCATCGAATTGGAGCTATCAAAGAACAAGTCTTTCAAGATACATACAATCAGATCCGTGCGTCGATAGCGAACCACATTTAACAACTCATTTTAGGACAGATGTTCGATTTTGTAAATATGCATTTACTGTTTTCATAACAATAAAAATGCTCTCTACTTTACCTATACTGAATTCAAGTATTTACAGAGAATCAATGATTGATTTTTGTTCTGAAGATAAACAAACAATATTTTGTGAGATCGTAGAAATTCAGGACCTGCAAACTAGGCAGAAAGGGTGAGAATTCCATTTAGAAAAAAAATCAGAAGAGAAAGTCAATACAGATTTCTTTATATAGATTTTGTAGAGCTTTCGCTAGTGCATCTTTAAAAAAGTCAAGGTTTTATTATTTATCTATGCTGATATGCACTCAAAGTAAAACGTGTGCAAACATTTTAGAACACCTGATATATGTGATAAAAATTTCAACCTTCTACGTCAAGAAAAAGTATGAAAAATATCATTGAGAATTTATTCTCAGTTATTATAGAACATCTTTTATAAAAAAATCTGTGCTACAAAGATAAAGCTTCAAAGAAGACTAAATTTGTATGTTGTAGAGTAAATTGAAAAAAAGACCAAAAAAGTATCAATGCTATGATCCGATCAATATTAAAAATACTTAAATTTATTTCTCAATATTTTTTATATTTATATTTAGACAAAACTTGTGTAATTCATATAACTCAAAAATTAGATTTCATCACTTATTATCAATACTACTAAAAATAAAAAACAAAATTTAGCAGAAAATATAGTTGAACTTGTATTTACATAAATCTATGATATGTTCAGCAATTTACAATATTTAAATTTCGGTTTACTTTCATTCTACTATGAATGATTATCATTTACTATTTCACATCCAACTGTTTTCTCTTAGATTCCATTAGAATTACATGTCAGTTTGAAAACTTCTATCGATTGCCTTTATTTACTTGATGAACATTTTAATTAACTTCGTATATTTTAAGTATTTTCTTTTTTTTTTTGTCTAAGAAAAAATTCCTCACTTAAGATGTTTTTCGTTGTACTATAAAAGGAATATAAATAATTATACTGAAATAATTTTTAATATTCACTCCTCTATCGATTCTTATAATCAAATTGATATTCAACAAACATTCAGAGATTTTAAAAATAACCAACTTATTTCTTTTGTTGATTATTTTCACGAAAACAAATAGAGTCACTATCATATTTATTCATATCCATATAGATTGAAATATTATAATGATATAATAAATAATTTTTCAGATAGATTATTTAAATATATATTCATGAAGTGTCATTATTTGATGAATATGATTTTTTTTCTTTGAGTTGCTCAAACATTTTCATTGTTGGTAAAATTAATGTTAATAAATCAGAAAGAACAAAATAATAAACGATATGGAAAATCAAAAATTTATCAATCATTAAATATTGTCACTTTACTGAACTTCGTATTATTCAAGCTTACGAAGATTATCTTGAATAATTTTTACTTGATACGAAAGTAATTTATTTATATTTAAATAAAATTGATTTCTATGAAATGAATATATTACAATGGAGAAGAAAGTTATTTTATTCAATTGAAAAGTATCAAATTTAGAATCATTATACATATTAACATGCGATTCAGAAAAGACAATTACTGACTGTCATATAATATGCAATAGATTTTTTAGACTTAAAAAAATTGAGATTTTGAGAAAAAAAACCGGTTAGTACAATCCCAATAAAATAAAAGTGCGAAAACATGAAACGACGACTTTATTAACAGAAGGTGTATAATAACAATAAAGCTTTTTAAGTCGATTATATAAACTTATAGCTTTTCTATCTTGTAGTTCGAAAAAGTATATAGTGGACTTCAGTTTAGAGGGTATGCATTACAGTCTATAATAATAGGACAAATAGTTTAAAATTCTCACTCTATACTTTAGCCATCTTTTAAGATTATATTTTTACAAAATCATTTTAATTAGAAATTTGATTTCGATTGTGAGAAAATTATTATTAACATATGTTTTATATAAAAGCAATGTAACTTCTCATAAGTATCTAACATTCCAATGTTGAACAAAGAAAATTTTTGAAATATTAATTTTATCTGAAAATAATAATTTTTATTGAAGGTTTGCAAGAATATTCAGATCTATCCCAAAGAATGTGAGTGTGAGGTACAGAAAAGGATACATTCATACACCATCAATCACACCCAGAGTATCTCTTTAAAGACAATAACAAAATTAAAAAAAGATAGAAAATTTTTTGGGATCAGAAATGAACTCTTTAATACAATTGTGTACCATATTTCAGATGAGAGTTTGTGTTTGACAGCGACATCCAGGTAAATAACTATTAAATATCAAATAAAAATTTAACTTTATTGCATTATAGAAAAGACATCAATTGATCTTGATATGAGAGGTTTACATGAAGTAATAAAAAATGATGAAAGTCGACGGATTTTTTTTTCAGGATTCTAGAGCATGCAGTTATTTAGATGCAAAACGTGTCGGGTTGGTCAGATTCTCAATATGACTGCATTAAAATGAATCATTGTCAATCTTTGTAAATATTTGCTTGTTTTCATTCAGCTACGCACATGCTACGAGTTTCATTCTATTCATAATAAAAACACATTTTGTATTCTTCCAATGTCTCAAAAAGCCAGTGAAACAGATATTTCGACTCGTACCGATGCTGATACTCTTTCGATGAAACGAATCCATGTGAAACATCCATACGCTTTGCCTTCGTTTCAAAATTATTGTTGTGAATCAAACGTAAAAACAAGTGAGAAATTACAAAGCAAAGATAATCCATCCGTTTCTGAATATATTAAAATTGAAGTTAACAAATTAGTTCATGGTTTGAGCAAAAATATTATTGAAAATCTCTCGAAATTGAACAAATTTACGTCAACGATTCCATTGGACTTTATATACGACAATGCTGATATGCCTATCCATCGATTTTTGATCGATCGTACAATATTAAGAACTATGGAAGATGCAAAAGTAATCAATTATGTGAGCTCACTAAAACGAGTGTATCCGGTACGAACATCTGGTAAGAAAATATTAATGTAGAGTCTCTAGCTCAGTCGAGTGTCATATTAGAAATTAAAGCATTGGTCAAATTTATCTATTTATTTGACACGTAGATCTGAAGCAACGAAAAACTGAGCAAAACCAATTATTTAAAGTTTATCTTTTGCCTATCGATTCATTTTATCTTCGAAAATATTGATCATTGTACAGTATGAGAGTAAGTTGAGGATGGTTGGTTGGAAGTGAGTCCTTTTTTCACCTACACTTCCATTCACTATTCAATTCGATTCACACACTGGTTCAGAAAAAAAACGCTTTATTCTTTTTACACGTGACTTACTACTTATGTTCTAATTTTTTCTTCTGAACAAACTGGTTGTTTTTCTATTTTTGTGTTCTAAAGTCACCTTTTCTATATTTGATCTATTCATACATATTCAAAGTTCGTTTAGTTTTTTTTAAAACAAAAAGTACAATAAGTCGTTCATGACGAAAATTTGCATTTAATATTATGAAAAGAATTATGTGAATAGTTTTGAGCCACACTAAAATACATGATTTTTCATTCTTTACCTATAGATCAAGCTGAAATATGATACAGGTAGGTTATACTTACTGATATATATTTTTGGAGGAAATCGTAGCCTAAATAGTAGAATATTATTAGAACGTGAGAGAATTCTATGAGCACTGGCCATAGCTTAACAAATAAGACTATGTGATTATGCAACTCATCAAAATGGGATTCTCCCGCAGTTGAATCTTGTTAAAAGTCACTTTTAAGTATAGACTATAAGATTCACTAGTACACAGCTGTAAACGTTCCTCTCTATACAAGTACTTACTCTTTACTTATTTATTTCCATATGACTGAGCGACTAAACTGACACATCTTGAATTATTCGTCTATACAACACGTTCAGAAGACTCAAAAAACGATAAAATAAACAATTCTGAAACTTCGTGAAATGAGTTATGACCGGAGTGGTATGACGTAATTCAATAAATTCCTACATGAATCATGTTGGAATGTTGAGGGCTGATTCTTCTTTCAAAGTTAAATATTTGATTTCTATAGGCTTTTGAAAGAAACAATCGAATTAAAAATCCAAAATTTTTCCACAGCCAACCTCTGGTTATGTTGGTTAGTCTTCTGACAGATCTTCTCTTAAAATAGTTGATTGTGTTCAGTTCACAACGCATTATCTCTTCGTATGTTTGTCAAAAGCATAACATTTGTCCAGTATCTCGACACTTCGGTTAACTCCTTAGTGCATTGTTCATAGGCTAACATATTCTGATAGTGAACGATCTATGTTTAGGTAATGGAAATTGCCTTCTACATGCTGTACTCCTAGCTATGGTGGGTATCCACGATTTGAACCTTCATTTACGTGATCGACTAAAAACTTTCATGGAAACAAATGAGAAATCACTTAAAACTCACTGGCGAACACAGCGATTGAGAAATGATCGAATGTATGGTGTTCAATTGGAAGATACAGAACTTGACAAAGTAAATGTGAACGATTAATTCTTATCTCTTATAAATGCTTTCTCCTACTGTAGGAATGGCAAGAATTATGTGATCTGGTTCGATACGAAAATGTTGAAGACGAACAAGCAACAACGTGTCTCCGTTTTCTCGAGGCAGTACATGTTTTCTCACTATCGAATATGCTTCAACGACCGATTATTCTCTTCTCCGAAGATGTCATTCGAAATAAATATGGTGAAGCAATTTCGATCAATGATCTGTTAGGAATTTACCTACCGATTTTGTATCCAGTAAACGAATGTATTCGTGAACCCATCGTTTTAGCCTACGACCGATCGCACTTTTGCCCATTACAAACAAGTGATGACGAATATCAAATTTCGTCTACAACGAAGTACAAATACGAACTTGAAAACTTAATTCCACTTTACCAATCAATTGATCGAGCACACCAACAGAATCTCTTACCTGTTCATTTTCTGAATAATGATATGACGCCAGAGCAAACGAAACTGTTGGTTCGCGATTATCTACAAGTAAAAACAATTTATCTTCGCAAAGAAACGACTCATATCGATACACCCATTGATTGTGCTCAACTTGGTACCACAAATCTTGTGTCACGTAAAAACTTTTTCATGCTATATCGAAAATACCTGAGCGACTTTTATGAAACACAAAAAAGAGAAATGCAAATGAGAACAGTTGCAGAAGAATATGAAGAAAAACAAGACCAGCAGAATCGTTACATCTCTATTCAGCAGTCGTCTAAAGTAGACCCATCTATATCACCACGAATGCAAACTGCGACACTCTCACCATCACATTCTCACGCCATTAGACAATCGAACAGTAAGAAAACGACAAATCCTGCGGACAATCTCACTTGTGAACAACGATCCTCGAACGACGGCTCTACAAGAAATGTAGGGTCATTGTTAATAAATTCATCATTATTATTCGTTTACTTTCATCCTAGATTGTTGAGTCTACGCCAGCCGTAATTACAATGAAATGTACATTATGTAAAGAACAAGTCGGCAATGTGCGTTGTGAAGTTTGTCAAACTCCATTCTGCTCGACATGTATAAAGAAACATCAAAGCGAACTAGTAAAACGTTTTCAGCCATTGAAAGAAATCTGCAACACAGTCAAAATTAGACTCGACTCATTGGCATCCTCATCACAAAGCGAGAAGACAATACCATGTATGATTGAGATCGATCGATGGGAACAGATGATGATTCAGCGTGTTCGAGACGTCGCCGTGCAGACACGACATAATGTTCGTGAAACTCTAATAAATAGAACTGGTAAGATCCGTGCTCGATTCGATCAGCTCTCGGGCGATATTCGACAACGAAACAAAGAATGCAACTATATGGAGAATGAAATCGATCGTCTGAGAAACCGATTAAAACAGTTAAAACATGAAGTCGATCATATATTTGAGAACATCAGTGTTGACACTACAGTGTCGAAAAATATTGCATGGGACTCGTTTATATATGTCATTGAGGATTCAACATTATCAGGCATTTCTGCTAGTTCTTGCAAACCTTTCGACGGTTCGATTCCAAGACACGATACTCCGACATCTCATTCTAGAATAATTCCTTCAAGTGTATCTTCTGCAAAATCCTCCGTGAATGCAAATCAACAGCTCCCATTAGAGACAACTGGTAGTGTTGACTCAGTACGCATTGCTTTGAAATGAATTCCTCAATGATCCTCCAACGATGGACAATCAGGCAACGAATTCTTGGCCTGAGTGAAGACTAAAAAGTGGGATGTGAATCTCCTCTTCGCCAAAACTCATAACCCACACTCACATCCTCAAGAGCACAGTATTTATTATTGTTTTTTTTTTCGGAAAAATGAATCATTTCACAAACAAGTTAAATCGATATTTGAATTTGCATATTGAAAACAAAAAAGTTTTTTTTATAAAATAAAAATCTTCTAACAAATAGACAAACATTATGTGATATCATACTCATAAATTTATCGCTTAAATAGGACTGTTTTCAAAATCGCTATATCACTGTAGCATAGAACAATGAAATATTTGTATAACCAAAATGACAACGAGCAAATCGATAAAATAAATTTATCTTGATTAAAAATATTTCTTGAGCAAATTGGAAAAAGTTATAGATAATATGATACCGAAATCAGAAATTTCTTAAATTTTTTCCAATTAACGATTAATCATACAGATGTTTTCTTTAAAATTCTTAACGGACTTTCTAATAATTCATCGTTAGAATATTGTGCTTATCATATTTTCAATTCATTCAAAGAGATTACTTTTGAAAATAAAAACATTAATACACGTTTACTTATCGTCATCACAATATATTACTCAAATTTTAACCTATCTTCTATTTTGTCATTACTGACTTCTCGTATAAGTTGCCAAAGAATGTAAGTTACTTTGTTCTCAATAAAAACTCGAAGATTTCTAATTATTATTAATAACATTAAATTTAACGCTAAGAAAACAGTTTTATAAGAGCTAGGAATAATATCTATAGTATGATTGTTGATTGATGCTCTATTAAATTCTTTTTGTTTGAAATCTTCATATTTTGATAATTGAATCAATGTTAAAATTTGAAGATTTTCTGCTCGAGGAAAGAAGATAAAATGTAAAGTATTGTTATAAAACTTTTATCATTGAATAACTAATTGTGATGTTCAATTAATATTCATTAATCTTTCTTGAAATTCTTCATTATTAAAAGTTGATCTAAATAATAAAAATTTAAAAATATAAAATAGAATTCATATTTAAACATATCTAAGCGTTCGTCTTCTTCAACATTTTAAACTTGTTTTTGAATAAACATACCGTGCAACTAAGATAATCATGCGAATAATATGTTCATTGAACGAATCTGGATACGAGTGTCAGCGATACTTTCATCTGTTTGTTGCCTCTTATAGATTGTCACCATAGGAGTGTTGATCATTCTCGATACTTCATTTGATCTAATCTGAAAAAAGCGACCATATGTGAAGAATAAAACGCAATAGAGTACGTTTCTTTTTTTGTACATCTTCTCAGCGTTGTTACGCATTCTTCGAATAACTAGCAATACATGAAATTTAACTGTCCAGACTTCTCGAATCTTATTTCCATGACTTTGAACGATTTTTTAGCATTATTCTAGAACTACTGAACTTCTCGAGAATTAAGTTGGTCAGTGTAGCGAGTGTTGACTCTCTCTTTCACTGCACAATTCGATATCATTCAGTACTACAAAACCTCTAAGTGAGAGTTTACACAATCTATCATTCATAGGTAAGCAAAAACTTCAAAGTAAAGCACTATCACAGATGGTTGTAATTGCTAGTCTGTGTATGTTGAATTAATGAATAGCAATAGTGTTAAAATGGTACTCAAAGAAGTATTGAGCAACGTAGAAGAGGAGAGAGAGAGCATTGAAAAATGAATTAAAAAGCGCAATTCTTTACTATAAGACTCGCTATACTGACTTGCCATTGAAAAAGGACTTTAATTTTCGAATACATATTCTCTTTGAAAAGTACGATTATATTTTTTCATAATGAATCAATCTTTCTTGATACTTCCTTTTCACGAGCACAAATATATGACTCATATATAATTGCTTGCTCGTCAACATGAAACGTGTGCATCAGATAAAATCACGCACACTAATAAATATGAAGACCCATTAAAGTAATGCTTGGTTGATTTTGTCTTTATTGTGTACACTTACTTCTTTTATGTACACACATTATATTATCATGAATCTATTTTTCTTTCCCACCATCAATATATTCATGATATAAAATAAATAATAGACAATAGAAATTCAGATAAATTACTGACTTTTAAAAATGTCATAAATCATTCTCATCATGATATATTAGATGGAGAAAAACCCTAGCAGATACTATATAATCCATTTCAAAAAAATGAAGAATAATGAGTATTTTTTGAATAATTTTTTATAATGACAAGATAGAAAGCTAAAGTTTTCACCGTTGGAAAAAAAAAGATAATGATACATTGCATTACATAAGGTAAGTTATTCTTCCATGTTAGTCAAAGATTTCTATTGATTCTATTTTTCAAAAAATTGAGTTACTACGATGAGATGGTAAAACAAAACTTCATGAAAATATAACGAAAAAGTCTATTTTTTTCCTATTTTTTTGTGAAACACGATCTGAAAGGAGTGTTGAAGTGTTTAGGGGTGGAAATTTGGACCCACTCCCCCCCCCCCCCCCCCCCCCCCCCCCCCCCCC